TTCCAAGGCACAAATTCATAAAACTTTCCACCAAAGTGAACTCCAATCTGTAAATTTGCAACATAGTAAATATTAAAAGTTAGGACAAATCAACAATAATAATAATTACATCTATATAATATAATAGAAAGGGTTGCTGCATGTTGTAACCAAAACTAACAAAAGCATCACTATTTTTACCATAAATTGAAACAAAAGAAATCACTAACTATAATTAGATGTAAAATATGAATTCCAACACTTCGAAATAAATATCAACCTACTTGAGCCACTTGACAATAAAATCAACAGAAATCCTCATCACTTTCCTGAAGTGTCCTTAATGAAATTGATGCATAATCGAAATAAGAGAACGTGGATGTCTCTTTAGGGAATGTGAACTTATGTTGGACATCTTTGTCAATTTTTTGCTAAAAATGGGGATATATGTTGTGTGCCTATCCCAGTTGTATGTTACTCATTGCAACACATAATTGTTCTCTTGTTTGGGTTTGAGTTTGTCCTTGCAGTTATTTTGCAAGGATGTTGGAGAGGATGTTCTAACATCCTGTCTGTGTCTCAGTTTTTTTATAAGTCTTCTTTTTGTGTCTTGTGATCTGAGTTATGAACACAATTGTGTCTTGTGTTCTGAGTTACTCGGAGTTGCAGGCTTCTCTTTTGAGTCCTCATCGGGATAATTCAGGTTGGTGTTTTATTGCTCCGGGGAAATGTTTCTTCTCTCAGTTCCTAGGAAGCATGAGTCTTGTCGTGACAAGTATTGGTTCTGGGTTTGAGGGGGGTTGTGTGTATCTTCTTCCTCATGTACAAGAAGAATGAAAGCTTTCAACATAAGGGAGACAAGAGTCACATTATTTTCTACTAGACTCGTCATCCGACTGAAATGACTTTAGGACTTTTTACTCCTTGGGTTTATAGTGAAAAAGGTGTTTTAGCCACACAAAAAATCAAAAGGGGGAGATTGAAAGCTCTAAGATTTGAATAAAATTTTGGTAAAACATGATGTTGAATAAGATGTTCTAAATCTAAGAAGAACAACATATTAGACAAGATGTCCCAACACGATGTTAGGACATCGTGTCTATTACTGATGTGCAGGATTTTGATACATAAGGATATTTACATATCAGTTCCAAGATTTAAGACATGGATCAAGGAAAGATTGGACAGAGACTTCGAAGCCCATGGACTACTGAAGGCTATAAAAGGAAGACCAAGACCTAGGGTATGAAGATGTTTCGTAAGAGAGAGACCTTGTAACGAATTTTTGTAAAAGTAATTATAAGGGTTTAGGGGTTTGAGAGTCGTGTACTTTCTTGTGTTGTAAGTCACCCTTTGTATCGGTTTATACATTATGGTAGACATAGTTTTACATATTCAGAAACCTGTAGGTAATGAATTGTATATTGTTCTTGGATGAAGATTTTAAGCAAATCCATGCATGGTTGTTAGTCAAGAGTCTTGACTGAATATTGTATTGAGAGAGGTGTCTTTCAATTGAACAGTTTGATATAGTCACCGGAGGTTGTGACTGTTAGATATCACTGAGGTGATTTAGGAATTGAGATGGAGCTCTCTTATCTAGATGGTGATTTCTAGATAGAATTGTACTGGGTAGGGATTAAGTGAGGAGTTGTAAACGGGAGACTTTACCTCTAAATTAATACTACTAATAGTGGATTTATTCTTGGCTTGGTAGCCCCCAGATGTAGGTGTTGTTGTTCACCGAACCGGGTCATCATATCTTGGTGTTATTTATCTTTCTGTTATGTTAAATTCAGTCTGCTCTTATATTCTGAAATACATGTCTTAACAGATGTTGAAACATCTGTCATGACTTTGTTATGTATTTGCAGTTTTTTATGTTCGTGTTTTGGCCTTATTTAGTTATGCAAAGATCAATGTCTCGATATTTCTTGGGACATCTGTGATCTGCACACCATAATTTCAAAGATTAACAGACTCTTGATCACGGAGAATAACAAGATCATCACTAGTAGCAATAGTAACATGATCATCATCATGACCTTCATGGTCTCTTTGTTTAGACTACCCTTTTTCCTTTATTATCTCTTTTCCACTAATAACAATACTTATGTACGTGTCTTGTTTTGTGACAATAATGACACTCCAGATTCTTGTATTGTGACTTGGACTTGCTTTTGTTATTCTCTCTACCACCCTTTCGGTTCCTTTTTACAACTTCTCCCCTTATTTTCAATGACAAGTACCTCAGGTTGAGATGAAGAACCATGTGCTTTCCTTCTCATTTCCTCATTAAGAATATCACCCTTAGTCGTTTCCAAAGAAATAACATCTCTAAGAGCAGAACTTGTGATAGAAACCTGAAATTTCTCCCAAGACTCTAGTAAAGATAGCAATAGAAATAGTCCCAAAAGTTCATCATCAAATTTGATACTCATTCTTGACATCTGATCAAGGAGACCTTGCAATTCACTTAAGTGATCTAAAATAGAAGTCCCCTCCTTATACTTCAAACTTATGAAGTTATTCAACAAGAACAATTTATTATTTCCTGATTTAGAGGCATACAAGGACTCTATATTCTCCCACAAATTGTTTGCATGTGTCTCATTAGCAATATGATTATAATAATTATCTTCTACATATTGTCGAATAAAATCACATGCATGTTGATGTTCAAACTCTCATTCTTCATCAGACACAGAATTCGGCTTTGCGGAACTAAAAATCGGTAATTGCAATTTCTTCACAAATAGTAAGTCTTTCATCTTTCCTTTCCATAAATGATAATTAGAATCATCTAAAAATACCATCTTCTTCTTTTTATTTGACTCCATCATTCAAACAAGTAAAATAACCCTTAACCAAGAGCTTTGATGCCACTTTGATGGGAAATTAAGACTCAATAACATAGCAATACACAGCAGATATAAAACTTCCCTAAACTTGTAGGAATCTTGATGATCAAAAACAAGTATAAGACGACAAATCAAATAAATAAAGGCACAAAAGAACACCGATATTTTTAACGTGGAAACCCCCTCAATATGAGAGTAAAAACCACGAGTCGTCTAGACCAAAGAAATAAATCCACTATAATGAATTAAGGGTACAAGATAGTCTTAAAGTGATTCACAAACTAGTGCTAACAACCGCAAACCACAAAGCAAACTAGTTTACAAATAAGAATCAAAAGCTGAAAATTTTCTCAAATTTGCAGCTTCAGTGCAAAGCAAATAAGTTTCACCTCAGATGTTGTATTGAAATTACGAACGGTCAAAAGTTAGATATATGCGTTACAAAACTGCCCACCAAATTTGAGCTCGATCCAATGGTTAACAAATCAGAGATCGTCGATTTAGTGAGACTGGTTGCAGAAAAATGAGAATGAGTTTCTCTCCTCTTTTCTCTCTTTTGAATCCTTGTTTTTTCTCTATCTCTCTCAACTCTAAATTAATCATCTCCACTTAAATAAGTGAGACAAATGGACTAATCATATTTGGATTTTTCTCCACATAAAAAGGGAGCGCAAACCTAACACATAGGACTATTGTACAAGTTTGTCAATTCCCATAAAACTATTAGTAAGGGCCTATGATACCAAAAAAGAATCATAAATCTTATATTACATTGTCAAGTTTTATGTTGTCCTTAAAGGATACACTAACATATATTGAAATACCTTCTTAGATGATTTCAAAAAGCAACTAGTGGATATACATTTAGAATCGATGATGGATCAATGTCTTGAAAATTTAAAAAACATACAATATTAGCTCAATCTACTATGGAGTGTGAGATGATATCAGTAGCAACAATTAGTGGAGAAGTAAGTTAGTTCTCAATCTACTATGGAGTGTGAGATGATATCAGTAGCAACAATTAGTGGAGAAGTAAGTTAGTTAAGATGTTTGCTAGAAGTGATTTCCTTATAAAAAAAATTGTTACCAGTTATGTTGATCAATTGTGATAGTACATGTTTATTGCATAAATCAAGAGCATGTAATATAACGGTAAGAGTCGGAAAGTATGTTGTAAGTGCACTAGTGTTAGAGAGTTACTCTCTAATGGAGTTGTAAGAGTGGATCTTATATTCACTAATGAAAGTTTAGTTGATCCTTTAACGAAAAGATTAATTAGAGAGAAAGTCCATAACACATCAATTAAGATGGCACTATAGCCTATAAAAAAGTGAATCACTCAATAGTAAATAACAAGTTATGATATGATATGAGGTGAACATGCTATAATAAATCAAAATAAGCATGATTCTTGAAGTGATAAAAGAATGAGATAGTAAAAACTTTTAATGATATCTATAATTGATGTAAAGTGAGGTACCTAGGTATAGACTCATCTTTATAGATGTGAAAATAGAGGTACTCTTTTTATGAAATTTTAGAAAAAAAATTCCTAGTACGCTCACTAAACCGAAATTGATGTACATTCACTAAACCAGATTGATGTACAATGTCTTTAATGCACCATTCTTTTGACAATATACATAAGAAATGAAATGATTGTGTTTTGATGTTAGAGATAGAATTCAAAACTTCGAGCCATCCAGTTATGCATAATCTGAAAAGAAACTCCTAAATCATTTTTTATATTCAAGTTAGTGATTGTTGAAACATTATATAGCATCTAGTCATTTATCTAGATTTGCTTTATTTTCTTCTAATATTGTTCGGATTGAGAAATACGCTTCTTGTATTATTTCGTTTATTGCAACTAATTTGGTTGTATAATGAATTCAGTTGTCCATCAAAGAAAAATCTATGGTTGATTCATGTTTAACAATTTGTAGAGGACCCGAGAATGTTAACATTGTTCTCTCTCCTCCAATCAAACACATGTCAAGAATTCCATAACCATTCTTATAAAGTAAACATTCAATTATTTTCATTCAATCTTTTCTATGCATTAACAATGTACTCTTCTAATCATGAATCCCTTTCAAAATTTTGTACTCACCATGAAACTCTGAGAGAAGTTTTACAAGAATATTAAACTACTTACTACAACCCAGGTGGTTTAAACAGAGGAAACAGATTATAGATGCTATCGACATCAATAGGCAAACCAATAGCCCGCTGAATAACAGGTGGAGTTGATGTCTTTCCCTTCCATGTGTTAAACCATGGACCTCCTCCAACCTCTAGAGCTGCCATGTCACTTTTAACGTCCAATATAATCTGCCATTTTCACATAACATTCATGAGCATGTCCGATAATCGAATCAAACAGAGTATGTGAACAAATTATGTAGGAATAAGAAAAGCACCTTTCCCTTGCTGCCATCGTATCTTCGTTCCCACAACTTTAATTTTAGATTTCCAAAGCATGTGTCTTTACAAGCTTGCGAAAGGCCAGCTTCGGATGTTGGAGCACGCAATGTAGTACCTGGATCATCTGCTGTTGCTTCTAATTCAACCTGCAAGAATATCACAATTTGAGTATACCAACTATAATAGTTGTAATATTAATCACCAGAATAAAATAAAATGTGATTGTTAAGAAATATTTATACCACATGATTGCCGTTGTCTGCGGACATAAACCAATAACCCCATGTAGCAACTTCCCAGGTTACAACACCATTCCAAGGCACAAATTCATAAAACTTTCCACCAAAGTGAACTCCAATCTGTAAATTTGCAACATAGTAAATATTAAAAGTTAGGACAAATCAACAATAATAATAATAATAACTATATAATATAATAGAAAGGGTTGCTGCATGCTGTAACCAAAACTAACAAGAGCAACACTATTTTTACCATAAATTGAAACAAAAGAAATCACTAACTATCATTAGATGTACAATATGAATTACAATACTTCGAAATAAATATCAACCTACTTGAGCCACTTGGCAATAAAATCAACAGAAATCCTCATCGCTTTCCTGAAGTGTCCTTAATGCAATTGATGCATAATTGAAAATACTAAAAACTCATTATTGCTTTAGATTTTGTCAACTCAAAGAGAACAACTAACAAGAGCAGAGACATGTTATTCTAATCCCCAACATAAAAGAACAATCAGGTTAGCTTTACATCCTTGTCCTTTAGCCATTCTTATTACCACCAACATTTATTTCAAATGTAATCTTCATACTACATATAGTTTGTGTAGATCTATGAAATGGGTCAAATTGAAAGTTGAATGTTGTATGAAGTTACCAATGCAGCGTTTTCAAATGTCTCAGTTAATCCGGGAATTTGTCTCAATCCGCCTGCTGCTGTAAGTGCAACTTCTCCACTAGCACCTTCAAAAACATTACACTGAGCCTGCATGAGAAATTAACAATATGAGATACAAAATAAAAATGTAAACACTAGTCCAAATATTGGTGAGAAACATCAAACTAGTGTGCTGATAAACTCTGGCATATATACTTCAGTCAAGAGAAAGAGACATTTTACCCAAAACCATTTTCTCGGGAATGCTCCACCCCAGTTCTTTTCTGAATAAGATGGGGCATTTTCAAACTCAATCCTCTCGCCATCCCACTCTATCCAACCTGAGATTCAATATTAATATAAGAAAAATAAAAGAGAACACACATTTTACAAATATGAGTGATCATTGTCTTAGCATTTCAGTTTTAGTTCAAAAATTGATCATGTAAATGATCATTGTCATGCTCTAGCAAGTGGCTATATATCTTTCGTATTCCTGATTCATCACATGGCTCTAGCAATAACTATATATCTTTAATACCATAATCTTAGTGGTCTGTAACATTGTGTAGATAGCAAGTGGCTAAATGGTGATCACTTGGGGAAATTATTCTAGGGTAATGCCATAATAGCTTCACATCAATTGATCAAACCAATTTGTTTCAGTTCAGACATAAAAAATGAGGATACTAGACCAGATACTGATAGCACATGCCTGTTGAAAGTCCACCGCCCATGCATATTTGCCAATGCGGTTCAAAAACAGGAAAAGCTGCAAGCCAGCCAGCAGTTGACTTTTGTGTGGACCCGACATCACCCCAACCATATACAGGACGTGTACTATACTCCCAGCTAGCCGACTTTACTGTTTCTACGTAATCCGACCTATAATTAAAATTTGTTTCAAATAATAAATGTAATCAATCAAACAAGACAAATTTAAAAGGCAATGTAATCCCTACCTTCCGTCATCGCAAATGGAACCTTGATGCCAAAGAGGAGTGACTTGAAAACCTTCCAATACTCTATCATTAAATTCCTAAGCAAAGTGACCAAACAGAAATAAAGAACAAGACTTGTTTCCAGAACCGACTTTTGTAATCAATAATACTATGATGACAGAATATAAACCATTTGTCAAACTAGTCAAAAAGTGTTGAAATTTAAGGAAAAAGGTCACCATTGCAAGAGTATCAAGGATTACCTATGAAATAAGAAAACACCTTATAAATTATAAGATATATGATAACAATTTTAATCCCTTATATGATAAACGCTTATGCTATATGTGCTTAATAAAACATAGAGAAATATATTGAAAGATTATATATAAACCTACCTTAGGATGAACCTCCTTGTTTGGAGGTTTCGAATTTGGTTTTGCCGCAAAAGTGTTACCCAGCATCAGTTCATTCCTACCTAACCATCCAAAAACAAACATTGACTTATAAAAGTTAAAATAACAATGTGATCACAAATTATGCAAGAATACATAACAACTAGTTGCTTACTTCCCCAGAAGTTGTGTGATTCCGGAGTGAATTGGCAAATATATTTATCATCAGCACCAAGAATTTGGGCCCCAACACCAGTAAACCTAGGTCCATATTGAGCCAATTCGAAAGTCGTCAACGGTTTGCGAAAGGCAGGATTCTCAACAGAATACATAAAGCAAAAGCTTTGCCTTTTTTCCGGAATGGAAACTTTGAAGTACCAACCCTCAAAGAATTTCCGAGCAGTTCCATCAAAGTGATACCTAATAACACAAACAAAAAAAATGCCAATTTCAATTTCAAATTCAACTTCAATGTTAATGAATAATGAAAAAACAAAAACACATACCCGCTGTGAGGAGTTCGAAGCTTTCGATTGGGAGGTGTAGGAGAGTAAACAGATTTGGGAGATTGAGATTGTTGATTATCTTCAATGGGATCGGTGTGTGAAGAACTGGAAGTGTGAGCGAGTGATTTGAAAGAAGTGTGATTGTTACGAAGGGGAAAGGGGATGAATGTGCGTGTTGTGAAATTGGCGGTGGGTGAAGAAAGTGAGGGGAGGTGAAGAGAAAGAGGAGGGGGTTCAAAAAGCATGGTTTCCATGGATGAGAGTGTGATTCTTGTTTGGAGAAGAAGATGCGAGTGTGTGTGAGTTTATTGTCTTCCGTGTCAACTCATCTTCGTCTTCAGTTCAATTCAATTCCATCCACGTGGCATGCTTAGGTTTATTTTTAATTTTTGTGGTTTAAATGAGAGGTTTTGTTTATTAGGCTCTAAATCATATTGTTGTAGTAATGTTATTTACGTGTTGTTATTTCAGCCCCTTTTTTGGTTTCATTCATTTTGTGTTTTTAATCTTTTAGAGTTGGAAATTTCTAAACAAAATAAATTGATTTTAGTGTGAATGGTGTGTGTTAAGACTAAGGATGTGTTTGCTTTAAGATATAGAATGATACTTCATTGTCTTTTAGATTTGAAATGCGTGAAAGGTCGAAAATGATTAATACAATGAGTTTTTTTTTATTGTTTATAGTTTTATGAGTTTTTGATATATTGTTTATGGTTTTTGATGATTGGAAGAAGTATTTTTATGGTTAGCACTCTGACATTTAAAATAATGTTTGAATGAGGTAGAATTATGCAAATGTGTGTAAAAAGAATATATGGTTATGACTATGGGTCACCCTAATATAGAAGACACAGTTAGGTTAGTTTTTGGTTGGTCCAACGTGGAGTGCGGACAAGTGTTGGATGTATATCAACAATTGAGATGAATGTTGAAGCTATACACCCATGTGATACTCAAGAATAGAAGTTTACATGTACATCAGTTAGTGGAACGTCCTTACTAGATTGGCCTTATGGATTAAGTCGGTTTTATTCGACCTCTAGCCAGCCTAGAAATAGTTACCCCCTCCCCTCATACATCCTCAAGTACTTGCTATCAGCTCTGAAGCGAGGAATGTTTGATGTAGTCGTTGAGAATGTGCTCCGTGAAAAGGGAGTTCCATTATGGCATTGATTAGGGGGTAGATGGCATTAAAAAAACACACTTATTTAATACACTTTGTGTAGATATAAAATTGCCTCATAGAAGACCTCCACATACACCCACGCGCATAGAGTATGCATGTGACGCACCTAGGTCCCCTGGAGTGCACTTAAGTGCAGTTATGGAATCGAGATTCTCTTTGAATTGTTAGATATGATCTTTGATCTTCTGTTGAAATATGTTCATTGATATTGGCGCCTTTGATGCTTATAAAGCGGAAACCCAAACTTCAGTTCCATTTTTCGAATCCTTCTTTGTTTCTTGAGTGTTTCCCTAGAGAGTTTTGTATGTAAATCATTTGTTGTTGAAACTTCTGGGGTTCGATTGTATTTCTTGAATCAAGTTGTGTTCCTCTTGAGTTCTTCACAATCCTTCATTTCAAAAATAATGTACTTTCTCCTTCTCCTTAGGACATCTCTGAGTTTTTGCTAGTGCTTGTTGACCTTAGTGACATAGATATCAGTGACGATGATTCCTGAGTCAAATAGGGGATGATTAATCTTGGAGATATGGAGTGTGCCCCACTAGGATAGAAGTTAGGCGAGTTCGTGCTAGGTTTACCTTTGGAGAAATCCATATGATGATTCCTACTCATATGCTAAATCTCATGGATGACCGTAAGGCACAAAGTGTAGCTAGAAGTTTAGAACATTTGTTCAATCGTAAGTGTCGCAGTGAGAATCAGAGACAATAGCTATTAGGTTAGCTAGGCTTCACAAATCTTAAGATATCACCACCGGTCTTTAATTTATTCAAGGGAATGGGTAAAGAAAGAATAATCAATAAATATGCAATGTAAAGACAAAGCAATAAAGAGATCTAAGGTATGAGGGTTGGTTATACTAAGAAAGGTATTAGCATCCTAAGTATCTATAGTATCCTATAGGAAACTCTTGTTGAATTTGTGTTATTGTTAAGTTGTTTGCTAATTGGGATTAATTGCGGAGATGAGAAGAGAAATGTTTTTTTTGTGTGTTTTGCAAGACACACAGTCTTGTGCCTACGTACCAATAAAGGATGAAAACCTTGTAGTTTGGGTATAAATTGAAAATGGTTTGTTATGGTGGATTTTAATGAAGAAGAGACAAGTTGTCATCTTAAGAAGAAAACTCAACTTATCCACCACAAACATGTGGAAGAGGGATCTTTGTTTCACATTGAGAGAATGGCTCCAACTTGGATGTAATCAACAAGTATGCCACATACCTCTCTCAAGTGGAAAAGAATCAATCATTTTTCTCACAATGTTATGGGATTGAATCTTTATATCTCAACTAAGGATGACTAATGTCTAATCTATTTGAAAAGGTTTTAAAGTTGAAAAGTCAAAGGTGGCAAAAGATTTGAGTTTAGTTTTGTTTCTTTTAGTCTTGTGAAAGAAGTTTTGAATATGCTTAAGATGTCTTGAAGCATTTGTTAAGAAAAGAGTTTGAAAAAGTCAATGACCTAAAATCAAGGTTTTTATTGAAAGTTTTTTTTTGAGTTTGCAAGAGGGGAAACCCTAATTGAATGTCTAAGTTGAAGGTAATCCTAAGGGATAACAAGTTCTAGAATTACAAGTTAAGAGATATATGTACAAGAAAGTAAAGATGTAAATGCAAATGACAAAGATGTCAACAGCAAGCCCCTCCCTTGGAATTAAATAACAATGATTGATCACATAAACATGCATAAATTGATAAATATCATGAATAAAACATTAACATGATTTTAGGCATTGAGATATGGTGAACATAAACAAGACATGATAAAGGCTTACATAACATCACAAGAAACAACTCATGAACAAACATAAGGCAAGAGACATGCTTAACATTATGGAAGTTTATCAAGGAAATACTTGAAAAACAAAATGATCAAAGATAGAATCAAATGAAACATCACAAACAAGTTTGAACAATTAAGCATCCAAAGTGAATCATAGATCATATGAACATGGTAAAGAAGAAGCAAAATCCTGAAGAGGGTCATTACACATACAAGTTATGAATGAGAAGTAAGAACATGTTGAAAACAAGTCAAGCCCTAAACCCTAACAAGGTATAAGCATGCTTCACATTTAGAAGTTTATGAAGAAAATACTTGGAAACATGTCAACAATTAACAAAGTAAGCACAATGAACAAGACATTAAGACATGATTGAATCAAAGTTTGAAGAGGCCAAACTCAAGGGGAGGACTTAATCATGCATCAAGAGGTTTCGAATGATCAAGCAAGATTAAACCCTAAAGGTTCCACTTAAACAAACTATCTAATCAAGGCTTTTTTTCAAAGAAAGGGATAACTAAACATGGTATAAGTCATTAAAGCATAATATAGTCACACAAACACCTATGATCAATTAAGTCAAAGAATCAATCAAAGAAAAATCATTAAAAGACCTAAAAGACACATAAAAGGAACTGGTTCTCAACCTAATAAAAATGGGCAAAATATATATTATTTTTGGTAATTTTCTATGTATTCACTGTCACACCCTAATTTTTGACCTTAAGATCCCGCATCCTTGTGCTTATTTCTTGCTTGTTTTATTTTACTTTTGTATGTATGTTTACTATGGCTAACTAGCTTGTGCAGGTGTATTAGAGTGGAGATGACACTTACAATCCAATCCTTCCCGACGTGGACGTTTGATTCTTATTTAGGTTATTCTTATGGTGATGTCATTGTTTAAGTAGCTGGTAGCAGGTTCAAGGAGATCCTCAGGTGGTTTATCAAATCTTGAGCAAAGTTTTATCAAGTTCACAACAAAGTTCACAAGCTGGATTGAACTCAAATTGTTTTATTTGGCTCTGAAGATCAAGAGGAAGTCTAGATTGTTGTGTGAGGAGTTGGGTCTTATTTTAACATAGGGAGTTCGTCATATTCAAGCTCATGATTAATTCCATATAACTCAAGTTGTCGCATATATTGGGAAAATGAAGACTCAGGCTACGCGGAGTAGAGTCTTACAAAACCGAGCTCATGATGAACTTTAGACTTGTGCAAAAATACACTTTATGGCATTATCTTGTTTGATCCTAATTTATTTCAGGTTATAACCGTTTGATTTCAAAGCTTCCTTTAGCGTGAAAGTGGGTTTGTTCTTTTTACTAATTAGAAAGAGTGGTTACAAGCTGTGAATTTTGGTTATATTCATCTGGATGTGGGGTTTATATAAAGAATTCAAAGAGGACGCACAACCCGAAGGCTTTTATTGGAAAGCATGTTATTGGACCTTTCGGAGATTTAATTTCACGAGTTAGATTGAACTCGTTTGATTTAATTGTGTTTGGTTAAGCTTTGAAGGTCAATTTTCAGGATGTATTGGATAAGTTTTAGTTGAATTCAAGCCACCAGGTTTAAGCCTAGAAGGTTCAAGTTCCTTAAGTTTTTTTCTGATTTAAGTTACGTGGTAAATTGCATGACGGATGCAAGCTGCTGGAAAATAAGTTTAAGGTTGTTCACCAAAACCAATACTTGAAGTCACTTTCCAAGTTGTATACAACAAATCAAGTGCAACTAAGTTCTTTAACTCCAAAGAGATTCAAGGTGTACAAAAATACAGTGATTCACGGTACCCTTTACAAGACCAAAGTAACCTCTTGCCAAAAACTAAGTAAAGACTAATTTGTTACACAAAGTGCAAGCCACTGCAGAAGCCCTTTTGCTTATGTCACTGACCTGCTGAAAGTCCTGCAATATCTTCACCTGCAAAACACAACCGATAATCAGAAATGTTGTTAAAGAAATAAATTGAGGTTTAGAATTGAGAAGAATTAGGTTCAGCCCTCAGGTTTCGAATCATCATCGGGCGAACTCGAGCAGCCAGAAGGGCAACAACCAAAGTCGCTGCCAGCTTCCAACAAAGCATCGAAAACAATTTCGGGCAAAACAACTTTCGAACATCTGTCAACATATGCGTCATAAGCAACCAAAAAATATCAAAGGCAACAACAACAATCTCAAGCCCTCCTAGTTCAGACTTTCACGTTGTCATCACCGAGCATCGAACCCTTTCTCGACCACGCAAGATAGGCAATATCTGAAGCTAAAGTGGTTTCCTGAAAG